ATATATTATATATGCATGCAATACTGGAGCTGTGATGTGTAAACTACACTTATCTTATATATATAAAATAGAAAACAACCTAATGATTCATCTTAAAGAACTGGAAAAGCAAGAGAAAACCAAACCCAAAATTAGTAGAAGAAATAATAGGATCACAGCAGAAACAGAGGTAAATGAAACTGAAACAAATGAAACAATACAAACATCAATGAAACAAAAATATATTGGTGAAAAACAAAATTGACATACCTTTAGCCAGACTAAAAAAAAAAAAACAAGAGAGAAGGCTCAAACAAAATCAGAGATGAAAAAGGAGACATTACAACTGACACTGTAGAAACTCAAAGGATAATTAGTGGCTACTATGAGCAACTGTATGTCAATACACTGGAAAATCTAGAGGATATGGATAAATTTCTAGACACATACACAACTACCACGACTGAACCATGAAGAAATCCAAGACCTGAACACAGGGATAATAAGCAATGAGACTGAAGCTGTAATAAAAACCTCCCAGCAAAAAAAAGCCTGATACCCAAGGACTTCACTGCTGAATTCTGCCAAGCCTTTTTTTTTCTTTTTTGCCAGATAGAAATACATTCCACTGGCTTCCCCCCTCAGGCTCAAACAGCAGGTGATGTGGAACAAGAAAACATCCGGGGGATTCTGCCAAACACCTAAAGAAGAACTAATACCCATCTTACTCAAAATACTCCAAAAAATAGAGGAAGAAATACTTCCAAACTCATTCTGTGAGCCCAGTATTGCCATGATACCAAAACCAGACAAAGACACATTAAAAAAACCTACATGAAAGTATTGCTGATAAATATTAATGAAAAAATACTAGCAAACCGAATTTAACAACACATTAAAACGATCATTATGATCAAATGGGATTTATCCCAGGGATGCAAGGATAGTTCAACAGATCAATGTGATATATCATATATCAATAAAATGAAGGACAAAACCATAATGATCATTTCAACTCATGCTGAAAAAGTGTTGGTCAAAATTCAACATCCCTTCGTGACAAAGACCCCAAAAAACTGGGAATAGAAGGAATGTACCTCCACACATTAAAAGCCATATACACAGACATATAATTAGTATCATATAGAATGGGAAAAGCTGAAAGCCTTTCCTCTAAGATCTGGAACATGACAAGGATGTTCACTTTCATCACTGTTATTCAGTGTAGTACTGGAAGTCCTCACTAGAGCAACTGGACAGGATAAAGAAATAAAGAGTATCCAAATTGGAAAGGAAGAAGTCAAATTATCCTTGTTTGCAGATGATATGATCTTATATTTGGAAAAATCAAGACTCAACCAAAACACTATTAGAACTGATAAATGAATTCAGTAAAGTTGCAGGATATGAAATCAACATACAAAAATCAGTAGCATTTTTACATTCTGACAAAGAATAATCTGGAAAAAAAAAAAGTAATCCCACTTATGATAACTACAAAGAAAGCAAAATATCTAAGAATTAATCAAAGAAGTGAAAGGGGGTCAGGCATGGTGGCTCACATCTATAATCTTAGCATGTTGGGAGATGGAGGCAGGAGGATTGTTTGAGGCCAGAAGTTTGAGACCAGCCTGGACAACGTGGTGAGAACCTATCCCTGGAAAAAATTTGAAAATTAGCTGGGCATGGTGGTATATACCTGTAGTTCTAGCTATTTGGGAGGCTGGAGGTGAGAGGATCACTTGAGCCTTGGAGTTTGAGGCTGCAGTACACTATGATTGTTTCACTGCACTCCAGCCTGGACGACAGTGAGATGCTGTCTCAAAAGAAGAAGAAAAAAAAACAGCGACAGATCTCTACAATGAAAACATTAATGCAAGAAACTGAACAGGGCTTGGTGTGGTGGCTCACACCTATAATCCCAGCACTTTGGAAGGTCGAGGTGGACAGATCACTTAAGCAGGACTCTAAGACCAGCCTGGCCAATGTGGTGAAACCCTGTCTCTACTAAAAACACAAAAATTAGGCTTGGTGGCAAATGCCTGTAATCCCAGCTATTCTAGTGGTTGAGGCATGAGAATTGCTTGAACTTGGGAGGTAGAAGTTGCAATGAGCCAAGACCATGCCACTGCACTCCAGCCTGAGAAACAGAGCAAGACTCTATCTCAATAAATAAATAAATAATAAAAAATTAAAAAAGGAAAAAGAAATTGAAGAGGATATAAAAATACAGAAAAATATTCCAATGTTCATGGATTAGACAATCAACATTGTTAAAATGTCCATATTTTCCAAAACAATCTACAGATTCAATGCAATCTCTATCAAAATACCAGTGACATTCTTCACAGAAATAGAAAAAAAAATCCTAAAGTTTATATAGAACCACAAAAGACCCAGAATAGCCAAAGCTATCCTAAAAACAAAACAAACCAAACCAAAACAAAAAAACAATACTGGAGGAATCACGTTGCCTGACTTCAAGTTATACTACAGAGCTATAGTAACCAAAACAGCACAGTGCTGGCATAAAAACAGATACATACACCAGTAGAACATAACAGATAACCCCAAAACAAATGCATACATCTACAGTCCACTCAATTTTCAGCAAAGGTGCCAAGAACATATAATGTGGAAAGGACAGTCTCTTCAACAAATGGTGCTGGGAAAACTGGATATCCATATGCAGAAGAATGACACTAGACCTGTCTCTCACATACACAGAAGTCAGATCAATAGGAATCAAAGAGTTAAATCTAATGCCTCAGCCTATGAAACTATTAAAACATTGAAGAAACACTCTAGGACATTGGACTAAGTAAAGATTTCTTCAGTAATATCCCACAGGTACAGGCAACCAACGTGAAATGGACAAATGGTATCACATTAAGTTAAAAAGCTTCTTCATAGCAAGGAAATAATCAACAAAGTGAAAAGACAACCCATAGAATGGGAGAAAATATTTGCAAACTATCCATCTGACAAAGGATTAATAACCAGAACATAAAAGGAACACAAACAATAGGAAAAAATCTAATAATCCCATTAAAAAATGGGCATCCTCTCGTGGATGCTGAGGTTTGAAATAATAGGCCAGGTGCAGTGGCTCACATCTGTAACCCCAGAACTTTAGGAGGCCGAGGTGGGCAGATCACTTGAGCTCAAGAGTTTGAGACCAGCCTGGGCAACATAGTGAGACCCTGTTTCAATAAAAAGAAGAAAAAAAAAAAAAGTGATATTAGAATGGGCAAAAGCTCGGAAGAGACATTTCTCAAAAGAAGACATACAAATGGCAAATAGGTATATGAAAAAGTGCTCAACATTATTATTAGTGAAATGCAAATCAGAACTATAATGACATGTCCTCTCCTGTCAGTTAAAATGGCTTTTATCCAAAAGACAGGCAATAACAAATGCTGGCAAGGATGTGGAGAAAAGGGAACCTTCATATACTGTTGGTGGGAATGCAAATTATTACAATTATGATGGAGAACAGTTTGGAGGTCCTTGAAAAACTACGCCTCAAACACACACACACACACACACACACACACACACACACACACACACAAAAAAAAAAAAAAAAAAAAAGAGAGCGCTATCATATAATCCAGCAATCCTAATGCTAGGTATACACCCAAAAGAAAGGAAATCAGTATGTCAGAGATATCTGCACTCCCATATTTACTGCAACACTATTCACAATAGCCAAGATTTGGAAACAACCTAAGTATCTAACAACAGATGAATGGATAAAGAAAATGTGGTACATGTACTCAATGGAGTACTATTCAGCCATAAAAAAGGATAAGATCTTGTCACTTGCAACAACATGGTGACACTCGAGGTCATTATGTTAAATGAAATAAGCCAGGCACAGAAAGACAAACTTTACATGTTCTCACTTATTTATGGGGGCTAAAAATTAAAATAATTGAAGTCATGGTGACATAGGATGGTTACCAGAGTCTGGGAAGGGTAGTGGGTAGGGAGTGAGACAGATGGGTGCAGTGGGTATGGTTAATTGGTACAAAAAAATAGTGTAAGATCTAGTATTTGCTAGCACAACAGGGTGACTATAGTGAAAAAATATCTACATACATTTTAAAGCAACTAAGAGTATAATTGGATTGTTTGTAACACATGGATATCCCATTTATCCTGATGTGATTACGCATTGCACGCCTATATCAAAAATTTCGTGTAACCCACATATATTCCTGTGTACCCCCCAAAATAAATTTTTAAAAAGAAATTTCATAGCTGAAAGTGAGGTCCTGCCATAGCAAGAACCTAAAACATATGGCATTAACTTTGGGATCGAGTAGCAGATGAAGTTGCCAGGATTTTGAGATTGCTAGTAAAATCATAAAGGGCCTTGAGGGCAACGGTAGCAGAAGCCCAAAGGGCTTCCAAGTAAGATGTCAGAAGGAGGAAAATGTTATTGGAAGCTGGAAGAGACCCTTTATAAGCAGTAAAGTTTAGCAATACTGTTACCTGTGGTGATCAAAAATAGAAAATGTGTCTAGTGATCCAGCTAAGATTTCCCAGCAATGTTGAATCTGGTGCCATTTGGCAAATAAATAGGTGTATTTACTATGTATCAATTTATCTACATAAATCACCTTCATCATATTTTTTTAGACACAGGGTCTCACTCTGTCGCATAGGCTGGAGTACAGTTGTGTGATCATAGCTCACTGAAACCTAGAACCGATGGGCTCAAGTGACCCTCCCAACTCAGCCTCCTAAGTAACTAGGACTACAGGCACGCGACACCATCGCCAGCTAATTTTTATTTTTTGTAAACACAGGGTCTCACTCTGTTGCTCAGGCTGGTCTCGAACTCTTGGACTCAAGCAATTCTCCCACTTCAGCCTCCCAAAGTGCTGGGATTACAGGCATATATTGTTAAATATTATAGATGACTTTTATTTCCTATAACTAATTTTAAATAACTTAAAAACTACATCAATAATTGCAAACAATAAAACCATAAAATCAAAGAAGATGAGGGCTGTTGCATGTTCCTTTACATTTTATTTGTCATAAACATTAAGATAATACAGCAAATACTGGAGAAATAAAGCTTTTTAATAATTTCTTGATGTAAAGCTTCACACTTAAAAATTATGCTTGCTTCCCCCCCACCCCAACTCAACATGCAGCTATCATTTATATTCATATATGCTGATTCTAGAGCATTATAATCTCTTGATGGTTTTATAAGAGTATCTTTGCCCTTGCAACAATTTCACAAACTATATACAATCATGGTGTAATACCATCATTCAAATGAATCCCCAAGGTGAGTACATTTACACAACATTAACACTAAAAATCTGTGTTTTTTAAAAACACCACAGAAGTCAAACCACAAAAAACCCAGGATTTTGTTTTAAATGTGTTTATGAAGACTGCTGCTGAGCTCAAAGCATGCAGGCATTCATGACCACCTAGATGAAGCTGGATATTGAAACTTCTTCAGTGGGTCCAATGATGTAATTTTTCACTCATCCCAAGTATCTCCATATTTGTTTACTTTGACTAGGAAAAAGCACAAATAATTGATGATTCCCAACAATAATAAGTGAAAAACATTAAGTTTGTTGCTATGATGAAAAGTTATGTTTCTCTCTCATCTGAATAAAAGCAGATGAGAATCAAATTATAATTACAAAAAGGGGATGGCCAGACTTTTGTGAACTTGGGGATGGACAAATGCATTGTAACTAGAATTTTACATAAATAGTTGATCCTCATAACAAACTTCTAAACACAATCCTCATTTTAATGGTGGGAAAACAGATTAGTAACTTGCCCAAGGTACAAGCCCTAATGAGAAGAACTGAAGTTTGAGTACAGGTCTGTTTAGATCCAAAGCCTGGGTACCTTTACATCTTCACCATACTACCTAAGTAAGTGTGGCACATATTAAGCTATATGCAAAAAAAAAAAAAAAAAGTGGGAAATAATAAAACAAACATTTAAATTTTTGTTTTTCACAAAAAATACAGCAGTAGAAATGGTCAAGTCTTCAAGTTGTGATTAATTCAATCTTCTCTCTCAGAGCTGTTAACACTACTATGAGAAGAAAATACTACCACATTTCACTAGTACTCTATATTTTACATTTTGAAACATGCTCCTCTGTCTTTTCTACTCCTTTGCCTTTTGGCTCTTCTTCCACATAGCCTGTCTGTGAGTAATCATAACCATATAAAGCAGCAGTTATCACAGTGTGGACCCTTTTCAGGGAATACATGAAGTGAAAATTATTTCATTATTCTACTAAGACATTACATATCCTTATCCTTCACATTTTGCCTTTTCCCCTTGCTCCTCATTCCCTCCTAAGTATATGGTATATGGTTTTCTAGAAGGTAAAGGATGTGTGGTGACACTGCTCTGGCAGCTAATGGAATATGTGCTTGAATTTTTTTAATTTCTGAATCTTAATTTCTAATTAGATGTGCTTGAATTTGTAAATTTCTGAATCTTAATTTCTAATTAGATAAATATCAACCACAAAAGCTAAAGGTGAAACTTTAAGTAACAATTTCTGACCCTGTGAATCTACCCTGTACTAATTTCAATGATATTTTAGAAAATCACTGAAACTATTTCAAAATAAGTCTTTAAATTATATAAAGCACAATTACATATTATATAAAGCACACTATATAAAACCAGCTTTTACCAAAAAAGTATCATTTCACATTATTTTTGTCATGTAATACAACTTAAAGACTTCACAGTCAAAATTCACAAATGTCAAAATCCAGCAAATGCTAAAGGTCTACCAAATTTCCTTTTCTTAACCTCTATTACTACAGAAGCCTAAACCAAAATACTCAATTTCTGATACAGTGTAAGGTACTATGCTATTCGGACAATAATAGAAAAAATTACAAAAATGAGAAAAATATAACTCTCTGTCTTCACAGAGCTTACAATCTAAATCCTCAAATTAATAAGTAGAACAAAGTACCAAAGTCTTTACATATTATAGAGCAACAGCCACTAGATGCATAGTTTACACTAAACATCGTTTGATGACAAACATTTAAAAGTACGGTAGATTACTAATTTATTTCAAAGCTAGATTTTTTTTTACATCAGTAATATGACACACATATTATCTATCATTGTTATAAGAACTCCAAATGAAGCAACCGCGAATAATTAAAAATAAAATTAGCTCTAAAAATTGACCAAAACAACAAATACTAAGGACATTTTTTTTTTTTTTTGGAGACAAAGTCTCACTCTGTTGCACAGGCTGTAGTAAAGTGACTTGATCTTGGCTCACTGCAATCTCCACCTCCTGGGTTCAAGCAATTCCCTGCCTCAGCCTCCTGAGTAGCTGGGATTACATGCACCTACCACCACGCTCAGCTAATTTTTGTATTTTCAGTAGAGATGGGGTTTCCCCATCTTGGCCAGGCTGGTTCTGAACTCCTGACCTCATGATCCATTCACCTCGGCCTCCCAAAGTGCTGGGATTACATGAGTGAGCCATTGCACCTGGCCATACTAAGGACTTTTATGTATTTTTGCATTCTTTGTGGCATATGACCTTCTAGATGGCACCAAAGACCTATTCTTTCCTTCTATTTTTAAAGTAAATAGAAAACCTTTGAAACAATGACACATACTCTGAAATTCCTTAAGAGAAAATCATAAAATCTTATACTGAAATAGCTATAAAACCCTATTCAAATACCCTCTTCCTTTAGAGGTAAACATGTATCAAAAAATTTACTTTGGCTAATGTACAGCTATTCCAAAAAGACTTAAAAGAAATCAGGATTTAAAAATTCACGTTTTAAAGTACAGTTTTTGTTTGTTTTTTAAAAAGATTAAATTCCCCTTTTGGAAATGCCTTAGAAGCTGCTTTTTCAATTTCACAAATGTACAAGAAAGGTCAGGCACAGTGGCTCCCACCTATAATTCCAGTGGCTAAAGTGAAAGAATTGCTTGAGCCAAGGAATTTGAGACTAGCCTGGGCAACATAGGGAGATACCCACTGTACCAAAACATTTTTTTACGTTAGCCAGGCATGGTAGCATACACCTGTGATCCCAGCTACTCGGGGGGCTGAGGTAGGATTGCTTGAACCCAGGAGGTCAAGCTTGTAGTAAGCCATGATTACATCACTACATTCCAGCCTGGGTGACAGAGTGAAACCATCTCAAAAAATTAAAAAAAATTAAAAAACAGAAAAATGAAACAAAAAGCCAGAATGAAAAAACCCAAATGTACAAGAAAATCAATCTCATTACTCAATCATTCTGTGCTTAGGCCACAAATGGTATATTACAGAGCAATGCCAACCTCAGTTCACCACAGTGATTTGTGTAATAGAGATATCATTAGGAAAATAAGAATATCAGATCTCCAAGGAGACTTGTTACAAGGGGAAAACAGTCAAATGAGTATATAATCTCTACCCTGTGTTACAAAGTTAATCTTGCTGCCTTAAGTCTTACTATTTGGACTTCATTATTTTCTTTATTCTTTTGAGATAGAGTCTCGTTTTGTCACCCAGGCATGATGTCGGTTCACTGCAACTTCCGCCTCCTGGGTTCAAGCAATTCTCCTGTCTCAGCCTCCTGAGTAGCTAGGATTATAGGCGGGTACCACCATGCCCAGCTAATTTTTGTATTTTCAGCAGAGACGGGGTTTCACCATGTTGGCCAGGATGGTTTCCAATTCCTGGCCTCAAGTGATCCAACCGTCTCAGCCTCCCAAAGTGCTGGGATTTCAGGCATGAGACACCATCCCTGGCCTGGACTTTATTTTCTAACATAAAATAGCCTTTGGAATACCTTAAAAATGGAAGAATAGATAATCGTAAAGTAACTACTCTTTAGAAAAATATTTTACTTTGGTTAATTGCTTAAAGAGTTAAATCACATATTAATATAATTAATTTTTATAGTACTGTTTTAAAGTAATGCTTTAGTTTCCAATCCTAAACAGTAAAGTGATTCAGACTAAACTATCATACCTTCTTTTTTTGGTACTCTTTCATGCATAGGCCTGACTGAGGGGTCAGTCTTTTGTGTTAAAGATACTTCGTATGACTCTCTGTTCTTATTCCTTAATTCCTCATATGTAAATTTTTTTCTTTTAGGACTTTCTTCAAGGTTGGGATCAGGTCCTAAAACAACAAACAGTTAATAAATGGTAATAAAAGGATTTGTATAAATCTAAGCAACTAAATTTTATTAATGCTCCTTACCTACAACCGAAATAAAGTAAAAGAATCAGATTATTACCACCGTTTCACAGGTACTATAATTTCACCAAGATAATTATCAAACTAAAATTTATTTCCTCTTTTACTTTTAAGCTTTTATTACTAAAATTAAAATGGACATCAAAAAATTTAAAAACTAAACCACAGCCAGAAGAAAAATAGATATCATAATATAGAACAGTACAAATTAAACTCATTAAAATACCAGTGTTTTAAACTGAACTTATTCATACTGTATATAGAATTAAAAGAGAAATATATTCTACCAGTAACAACTGAATAAAACTTGACACAGTCTAGATTTTACTTAACATAATTTTATAGTTAAATATTCCTATAACCAAAGACTCTATGAAAACAACTTCAGTTATGTCAAAAATCGTTTATTTTACCATTATGAAATTTAAACAAAAATACCTGAAAATAGGCCAGGGGCGGTGGCTCACACCTGTAATCCCAGCCTGGCCACCATGAAACCCCATCTCTACTAAAAACACAGATTTAGCTGGGCATGGTGGCACACGCCTGTAATCCTAGCTACTCAGTAGGCTGAGGCAGGAGAATTGCTAGAACCCAGGAGGCAGAAGTTGCAGTGAGCCGAGATCGCGCCATTGCATTCCAGCCTGGGCAATAAAAGCAAAACTCTGTCTCAAAAAAAAAAACCAAAAACAAAACAAAATAAAAAAAAGTGAAAATAATACTGAAAAGTATAAAACATAGCCTTTAATCAGAATATGTATTGTTTTCACTCTGGTCTAACAGATGCAATGATGATGCAGAAGAAAGTATCAACTATTATTTTGGCCTGGGAACTAACATTTATTCTTTATTTCTCCAAAAGAGAGTCAAAGTGTGAACATCACATATTATCATAGAGTCAAATGTAAATATAATGTAGCGGTTACTTCTAACATTGGTTGACAGGATCAAATAGTGAACACAATTTATAAAATTTATAACAGCAAAAACGGCCATATGAACATCCAAAAAAAAGAGATGCTTATAGTCTTACATACCACACCAAAAGTACTATTTTTCAAAGATGTTTTCAATGAGATATACAAATTGGGCATATAATTTTAATATAATGTTAGTTAATATAATTTTCTAAAACATAATTGTGATACTTATTCAGAACTCAAAGGTAAGATGTCAGTGAATAATTAGAATTTTCTAAGCAATACAACTATATAATCATAATTTTTTCTTTCTTTTTTTTTTTTTTTTTTTTTAGACGGTCTTGTTTTGTTACCCAGGCTGGAGTGTAGCGGCACGATCTTAGCTCACTATAACCTCCGCCTGCTGGATTCCAGTGATTCTCCTGCCTCAGCCTCCCACGTAGCTGAGATTACAGGAATGTGCCACTATGCTTGGCTAATTTTGTATTCTCAGTAGAAAGTGGGTTTTGTCATGTTGGTCAGGCTGGTCTTGAACTCTGACCTCAAGTGATCCATCCACCTCGGCCTCCCAAAGTGCTAGGATTACAGGCATGAGCCACTGCGCCAGGCTGTTTTCAACCATAAACTTTAATTCTGCTAAATAAACATATACTGTACTGATGAAAGACAAAGAAGATTTAAATTTCTAATTAGTTCTAGTATTATATGATGGTTCAAAACTAAAATTTCTTACGAAAAAAAGAATGTAAAGAAAAATATTATAATCTTATATTGGGTTTAAAACACTTTGCATTTCATTAGTGATAAGTAATTACTGAACTCACTTCCCTTCACCATATATTAAAAATTCTGATGGAAATCATGTATACTTCAGGAACCCAACTTCAGAGTTGGGTTCTTAACCCCACCCTGCTGACAATTAGGGAATGTCCTTGGGCAAATCACTAAGCTTCTCTGAATCTTGGTTTTCTCAATTGTGAAATATGGCAGTTTGATTAGATGATCTCTGAAGTTCCTTTCAGGTCTAATACTTTTTCTTATAAAAAGTATTTTACTGTTATAAAATTCTGGAACAAATAATGAATGTAAAAATCAGACAGAAGAAGACTGGGGAGAATGTCCTGCATTGTGGAGAGAACATGATTTACTATTTTGGGAAGGTTATAAAGAACTGGAAGGAATAGGAAAATGTAAAGCAGCACTTAAATCTGACTGTAATAAACTCTAAGTCTCCTAACAGCTATGAAGGAGTACTTGCTATTTTAAAAGATTAATAGCTCTCTGAATTCCTGGTAAAAGAAAGGACAACTAAAATAGGACTTAAACCAAAGAAGATGCCCTGGTAGGGGAGGACAGCATTTGGGGCAAAGCAAAAGCAGGCCACTGATGGCCCACGTGGAGAGCAGTAGAAAAGTGGCCACTTTGATTTAGAGAAGGGGGTCAGAAAGCAGAGCAGTGGATGGCTGGATAGCTGCTGTGGAAGGCACAAAATAATATTAAGACATGGCCTTGCAGTAGTCTGTGGGTAGATGCCAAAGGGCTTTTTGTTTGTTGGCTTCTGTATGGAAAAGAAACAATGTAACAGAATTTCCTAATGCAAATAGTGGGATGGATGCAAGTCATTACAAGGAAAGTGTTAGTGCATGTCTAGATACAGTAGTGCCCCCTTATCTGTGGTTTCGCTTTCCAGGGTTTCAGTTACCCGCAGTCAACCATGGTCTGAAAATATTAAATGGAACATTCCAGAAATAAACAATTCATAAGTTTTAAATTATACCCTGTCTTGAGTAGTGTGATAAAATCTTGTGGAGTTCCACTCTGGTCCATCTAGGACTTGAATCATCCCTTTGTCCAGCATATCTGTGCTGTCTACACTATATGCCTGTTAGTAGCCATCTAGATGGAAAAAACATACAAAGGATTTGGTAATATCTGAGGTTTCAGGCATCCACAGGCATCTTTGAACTTATCCCCCATGGATAAGGGGGGACTACTGTACGAGAAAAATGGATTTGAACTTTAGACTGGTTAAATGAGACACAGTGAGGAACAAGGACAGCTGCCTTTGGAGGTAAGATAGCAACTTTAGCCATTCTCTCCTAATCTGCCCACTCCCTTCCTTCCTTTTTTGACTTATTTGATGCCTTTGCTTCCAACCACTAATGAAAAAAATAAAGAATTGGAGTTGAGGATTAAGAGGCTCTTAACAACTTTCATCCAAACTCTTTAATCATCTCAACTTCCATTCTCTCCTGTCTCTTCCTTTATACAAGACTAATACCCCTTTGCCCCAACTTTTGCTTTGAAGTAGTGCTGTCCAACATAACTTTCTTCAATGAAGAAAATGTTCTGTATTGGTGCTAACATGGTAGCCACTAGCACACATGACTGTTGAGCAACTGAACAGCTGCTACCAAAGCAATTGAGAAATCAAATTTTAAATTTTATTTAATGTTAACTAATTTAAATAGCCACATATGACTAGTGGCTACTTTATATTCTGACTTACCTAGAACCCCCTTCTGCATTCTCTAGAACCTTCTCTGACCTATAATAAACTTCTCCCTTTCCACTGTATCCCCTCCCAGTCCCCTTAACTTCTTTCCCTCTAATCTTTTAAAATTTAAAGAATATACTCTACAAGGGTCCATAATCCCTTATCCAAACCCTTGGGGTCAGATATGTTCCACAATTCAGAGTTTCTTAGATTTCAGAAAAATACTATAGTATATACCCCTTACATTACTTAATATCCATCCATTCAGAGGTTTGATATAGCAATGAGTAAGCAAACATGTTAATATTTCTACAATGAAATAATGGAAAAATCTTATCTGGCAAAGTAAATAAAGTCTACGTTTATATAACTCATGTGAGTTTAGGTCAGGGTATGCTGCTAAATGAATTCAGGCCAGATTTTATTACCAGTTTAATTACTAAAAAACACAAAAACAAAAAAACTTGGTTTTCAAAGCTTTTTGAATTTCAGGATTTTAAAGAATTGTAGACCTGTATTTTCTATTTCTAATTCCTCATCTTTCACTGCAAACTAGACTGAAGGAAAGAAACTAATGTTTTTTTGAGAGTTTATTTGCCAGGCATTGTCCCTGATTATTTCATCTAATTCCAACAGTTCATTAAGAAAGGTTAGGTTTTGTTTTGTTTTTCTTTTTGAGACGGAGTCCCACTCTTGTCGCCCAGGCTGGAATGGAGTGGTGTGATCTTGGCTCACTGCAATCTCCACCTCCTGGGTTCAAGCAATGCTCTGCCTCAGCCTCCTGAGTATCTGGGATTACTGGCACCCATGCCCAGCTAATTTCTGTATTTTTTAGTAGAGACACATTTTCACCATCTTGACCAGGCTGGTCTTGAACTCCTGACCTCGTGAAACACCCACCTTGGCCTCCCAAAGTGCTGGGATTACAGGCATGAACCACTGCGCCTCCTTCAACTGATCAAGAAACTGAAATGATTATAAAGTAGTTATAATAATCCTACTACATTATGTAGTAGTAGTATTACTAGGTCACATAGCTAGCAAATATCAATCATGATTCAAATCCAAGTCTTAATCCAAAATTGATGTTGTTGCATTTATATGTGTGATCCTCAAAGCTAGTATTTACAAACTTCACAAAGCATTTTCACATGGATTTTCTCACTTGACAACAGTTATTTCTTATATTACAGACAAGGAAGTTGAAAGCCTTTAAAACTCAGCCTATTAAATGTAACATTTATAAAGCTTTCCTGGAGCCTCTACTCCCTGAAACACAACTTATCATTTCTTCTTCACTATTCCACTAAGTTTGCCTTAGTATTTTCAATTACCGGGACATACTAGTAATTCATCCTTGTATTTCTGTATCTTCTAACAGACTGAGACTTTTTCAGGGACAATAACCAAGTGTTATTCATCTTCTTCCACATCTAGCAGAGTACTCGACACCTACTGGTCCTCAAGAAAAGTTGAATGAATGAAGAAACAAATGAACAAAAACAAACATGCTGTGTTTACGTTGATGATTCATGGTACACAGGTGATATCCAGCAGAAAGTCATCAAATAAAGTTTATACATACGTTGGACCATAAAATGCTGTAATTCATTTCAAGAGAAGTTTCTACCTTGGACAATATGATCAGTAATACCAGTGGGAGCAGATTCATTCACAGAAGAACTGAATGGAATTGGCTCATAATGAGGAAGCATTTCTATGTTGTCTGCTGCTGGGGATGTCCCAAAAGATGATTGACCACTCACATTTGAGTCATATTTTGATTTTTGATAATAGTGCCTGTAAATGAAAACCATATTGTGTTAAGAAATGAGTCATTGCCTGTATCTTAAAGTGTTAAAATAACTTCTTTTATATATCTTATTTCCAAAATTATATCTATCTATATCTATATCTATATCTATAGATAGATATAATTTTGGAAATAAGATACAGATATAGATATAGGTTTTCTTTTTTGAGACAGGGTCTTGCTCTGTCACCCAGGCTACGGTGCTGTGGCACAGTCTTGGCTTATTGCAATCTCCATCTCCTAGGCTCAAGCGATCCTTCCACCTCAGCTTCTCAAGTAGCTGGGACTACAGGCATGTACCACCACTTGGTTTTTTGTAGAGATAAGGTCTCACTATATTGCCCTGGCTGGTCTCAAACTCCTGGGCTCAAGCAATCCTTTTGCCTTGGGTGCTGGGATTACTGGCATGAGCCACCATATCTGGCCTCAAAATAATTTTTAACACAGTTATTTATAAGCAGTAAAATGAGGTCTGTTTCTTTCTGCCAACAAAACACTTTTAAGAAGTCCTGACCCACTTATACATCTTAAAAGTGGTCACTGTCAACACAGAAAAATAGGAAATGTATACCCAACTTTCTAACATTGGCCTTTCAAGATAATTTTAGTATGTTTGAAAGTTCTTGGAAAGAAAAAGCACTTCAAATCAGGTCTAATTTCAATAACCATGTCCATTTCCCATGTCAATTGAGAAGGTAATGTCACAGCCAAGAATCTATATAAACACTAATTTGCTAAAGCAGATACAAGTAATTCTCTCTCATGAGGATTACATTGCTTGCCTATCTGTTTAAGAAGCACTAAAATTAAGTTAAAATCTGTTAAGAGATGGAATTGATAACATTTGGGAGTTCAAAAGAAAAGTCCAAACTATAGTAACCAAAGGTGTTTGCAAAATTGAATCAAGATAAACTCCTTTATTCTAGGACATGTACTCCCAATAGGATACAACTCTATATTTAAAACAATGAAGTCCGGCAGTGGCTCACTCCTGTAATCCCAGCACTTTGGAAGGCCAAGTGGGGCAGATCGCTTGAGCTCAGGATTTGAGACGAGACTGGACAACATGGTAAAACCAGTCTCTATTACAAAATACGAAAATTAGCTAGGCATGGTGGTGTACGCGTGTGGTCTCAGCTACTCTGGAGGCTGAGGGAGGAGGATCACTTGAGCCCAGGAGGCAGAGGTTGCAATGAGCTGAGATTGCATTACTGTACTCCCAGCCTGGGAGCCAAGGTGAGATTCTGTTTCAAAACAAAACAAAACAAAAATGAGGAACCAGACACAGTGGCTCACACCTATAATCCCAACAATTTGGGAAGCTGAAGCAGGTGGATCGATTGAACCCAGTAGTTCAAGACCAGCCTGGGCAACAAAGTGAGTCCCCCATATCTAAAACGACATTCTTTTAAAATTAGGTGTGTGCAGTGGCTCACACCTATAGTCCTATTTACTCAGGAAGCTTTAGGCAGGAGGGCCCTGTGAACCCAGGAGTTCAAGGCTGGAGTGCACTAGGATCATGCCACTGTACTCCAGCCTGGGCAACAGAGGGACGCCCCATCATTTCTTCATTCATTCATTCATTCATTCATAAATAAATGGTGGCAAGGCTTGATCCAATTTTTGAAGCAAATTACTTTTAGCCTACAGTATCCAATGGTCCTTTCAGGCAATTTTTTTGAGCCCTGAATTATAGAAACACCTAGCTGTTACTTAAAAATTAAAAATCTTAAGTAAAGATGAGAATCTGGCCTACCCAGGTGGTGAAGATCGTCGTCGTGCTTGTGCCAATCGTAAAGCTTCTCCAAGGGGGGAATTTTCAAGGTTCCTGAATTTCTCTTGGCAAGTTTTCACATAAGAAAGTTTTCCAGCAAAGTATCCCATGATACAAGCAACTTATTTGTAAAATCAAACAAAAAGTGTAACTGAATGTGACTTTCAGACAAAAGTATTTTCTAAAAGAAAAAATTTTTTTAAAGTGTGATTCTAAATATGTCTTTGGTTTAGAAAGGCTGAGATTTTCTGAAATAATCGTAGAAGAATCAAAATTAAATCAGATCAGAGTTCATAGACAGAGTCTATGGATATAATTCTGTTTCCTAAAAAACATAGTATGCCAAAATAAAGTAGCTATAAGTAAATTATAATATACTACTTTATAATATATACAGGAAAGATTTAGTAAAGGTATAATGGGAAGAGAAATGGATAAAAAATCAAAACATCAAAACATTTATTTATTTCTAGTTCTGTTCTCATGACAAGGATTTAGTCCATTATCTTCATATAAAACAGGAAATCATTTGTACAGCCATTTTCACAAGATTGTTTTTAAAATAAAATTAGGTACAACAAATCTCTTAAAGTAATAAATTACGAAGCATAACCTAAATGTGGCAATTACTGCATCACATGAGTTTCCAATACAACAGAAAGGCTAACCTGAAAGACTCATGAAAAGCCTCAGGTACTTCTTTTGGAGAGCAATGTAGCTTCTTTTTCTATTAACTATATTGCAACATGTAAATAAGTTACAGTTATTTACATTTTAAAATGTACATTAGAGATTTCTTTTAAAAATTAAGCTTAATTTTAAATATAGTTTATTTTGATTAATCAGAATATCTGCACAACTTTCTTTCCCCATAGACAGACCAAAAATTTATTTTCAAATACTTTATCCTTACAAAATAATTTCAAATTAAGAGTTCTATTACATTATAAAGATATAAAAAATACCTATTTCAACAAATTTTTTATGCTAACAATAAAATATCCAAGTAATCCACTTAATGAAATGCTTTAACAAACTGATTTATCAGAGTATGTAACCATATAACTAATATGAGTAAGATATGATAAAACATTTGATAAAAATAATTGTATTTAAATTTTAAAAAGCTATGAAAACTACAACGTTGTTCATACTTACATATAAGTTTAGGGATTGAACCATATTTGGGATGACTTGAAAGTATTCCTAAAGAAAAGAGTTAAGTATTTCTGAGTAACATTGTTAAAGAAAGAAAAACCAGTAAAGACTATTTTTAAATATAATCTGACAATATTAGCTCCTTCCATGGCCCTAGAGAACCCTAGGCTGTTTAATAGGGAAAATCAAATGACTTCAATATCAAGAGAAATATGACAAAAATCCAAAAGACTCTGTAAAGTATTAGAAAAGGTGAATTTAGAAAGATCACTTGATCTTTCTATAGACCAAAAATATACACATGTGTATACATGAAAAACTGTTTATACCAACAATAAACAAAAAAGTCAAACATTTTTTAAAAGACAGAATTAATTATAGCACCCAAAAAACACTCAAAACCCAGGAACAAATGTAATGAAAGATATGAAAGATCTCTACACTCAAAGTTACAACTTACTGAGAATTGACTCAATATTTAAAGATGGTAATTCTCCATAACTTCACCTATAAATTCAATGTAATCCCAATTAAAATCAAAAGTTTTGCCAAAATTGAAAAGCTTTATAAGTCATGTGGAACACAAAGGGCCAAGGCAACACTGAAGAACAGTATTATAGAACTGACTACCACCACATAGCAAAACCTGTATGATAAAGCTGCAGTAATTAAGACAATCTGGTATTAAGTACAAGGAAAGGTACTTAATAAGTACAAGACAATCTTGTACTTAAGTACAAGAAACCCTGATCACAAAGACACAAATCTCTTAAGGGGGTGGACTCAAGTTTCTGAGGAACATGAGCTTTGCCAAGAAGCACAACAAGAAGGGCCTAAAGAAGATGCAGGCCAACAACACCAAGGCCCATGAGTGCATGAGCCAACGCTATCAAGGCCCTTGTAAAGCCCAAGGTTAAGCCCAAGATCCCAAAGGGTGTCAGCCGCAAGCTGGATCGACTTGCCTACATTGCCCACTCCAAGATTGGAGAGCGAGCTCATGCCCGCATTGCCAAGGGGCTCAGGCTCTGCCAGCTAAAGGCCAAGGCCAAGGATCAAACCAAGGCCCAGGATGCAGCTCCAGTTTCAGTTCCAGCTCAGGCTCCCAAAGGTGCCCAGATCCCTACAAAGGCTTCAGAGTAGGCATCTCTGTCTGCCAATGTGAGGACAGAAGGACTGGTGCGACCCCGGCCCCAGGCTACCATCTACACAGGGCTGGGGTCCTCCTGTGTTATTTGTACAAATAAACCTGAGGCAGGAACAAAAAAAAAAAAAGCTTATAGAAGAAAGCATAAGAAACCATGTTTGTGTCCTTGGAGTAGACAAAGATCTTAAAGAGTCAACAAAATGCACTCATCAGGAAGAAGAAACCTGATAAATTGGAGTCTATTAACACTGAAAACTACAGTTAAACAGAGTGGAGAAAAAAAACCCACAATATACATATCTGACAAAAGACTTACTTCCAAAATATAGAGAGAAGTCTCACAAAACCAGTAGGAAAAAAGACAATTCAATGAAAAAATTGGTAAACAGACTTCAACAGATAATTCACAAACAATGATATACTGAAATGAGGTATAAGCAAATGAAAAGGTCTTCAACTTCATTAGTCACAGGGAAATACAAATTCAAACCACAATGTAATCAATAATAGTGTTCATTTATCACAATGGCTAAAATATAAAAGACATAAAAATAGCTAGTGTTGGTGAGAATGTAGGAGTATAAATCGGTCTAAATAGTTTAGCAATATCGACTAAAGCTAAATAAATATATACAAAATCTATGACCCAGCAAAATGTCTATCAAAAGTACCACATTCTTCGCAGAACTAATTGTAATAGTCAAAACTGAAAGCTACCAATTATCAATGTACAGTTAATACAGATAAACTGGTGTATTTACATGGAGGAAACCTATATGGCAACAAGGTGGATAAATGCAGTGATGTGCTGGTAAACTCCCTATAATAAGCTCTAATTTTAAGATCTGTCAGTTTCCATGGTATAAAGACCCCAACACTTTAAAAATCAGCTTGCCTGGGAGGCCGAGGCGGGTGGATCACGAGGTCAAGAGATCGAGACCATCCTGGTCAACATGGTGAAACCCTGTCTCTACTAAAAATACAAAAAATCAGCTGGGCATGGTGGCGCATGCCTGTAATCCCAGTTACTCAGGAGGCTGAGGCAGGAGAATTGCCTGAACCCAGGAGGCGGAGGTTGCGGTGAGCCGAGATCACGCCATTGCACTCCAGCCTGGGTAACAAGAGCGAAAATCCGTCTCAAAAAAAAAAAATCAGCTTGCCGAAGTTTCTGAAAACTTAACCAATTCTCAGGAGCCAGTACAAACCAGTTCCAGCATGCTACTGGATGAATCTCATAATGTTGAAAGAATTTACATAAAAGAATACCTCAGTGTATGATTTCATGTAATTAAAACAAAAACAGACAACTAATCTGTGCCATTAGCCTCAGTTCCTTCATTTATACCACTGGGATGATAAGAGAAAAAGGAAAATGATAAGAACGTCTGTATTTTTACATTAAAAAGTTGTTCCAATCAGGCACGGTGGCTCACGCCTGTAACCCCAACACTTTGGGAGGCCGAGGCAGGAGGATCACGAGGTTAAGAGATCAAGACCATCCTGGCCAACATGGTGAAACCCTGTCTGTACTAAAAATACAAAAATTAGCTGGGCGTGGTGACACATGCCTGTAGTCCCTGCTACTCAGGAAGCTGAGGCAGAAAAATCACTTGAACCTGGGAGGCGGAGATTGTAGTGAGCCGAGATTGCACCACTGCACTCCAGCCTGGTGACAGAGCAAGACTCCATCTCAAAAATAAAATAAAATATTTGAAAGTCTCACTTCTGAGGAGAATCCAAAAAAGAAAAGAAAAATAAAATAAAACAAATAAAGTTGTTCCTTCATTCTGTCATCAACTAGTTATAGACTACTTACAACATAAAGACACTAAATACTGGATATTAACAGGAAACAAGACATGCCCTTTACTCTCATGGAATTTACAGTCTAGAGAGAGTGTTAAGACAAAGAGAATAGTGTGATGGTTGCTACTCATCCCCTCAAATATTTGAGTACTATGTGCGCTAACTATGCCCTCTGTCAGGTACTAGAAACAGCTTATCTTCCTAAGTAGCAGCAAGAATGGAGGCAAACAGATTTGTTGAAGGTTCCTACAATACTCTTTGTGACATATGGTTGCATTAATTATAGTGGCAGTACAGATGGAGGTAGATAGTTAATAAAGACATTTAAGAGCTAAAAGACATTAATTGGACAAGGCAGATAAGAGATAGAAGTGAAGGAAAATGTCCCAGTTTTCTGGATAGTACTAATGCCACTCAGTCATGAAAAGAAAAGAGGAATTTGTTTTGGGGAAAATGATGAGTTCAGTTTGAGGGGCCTATAGAAGGGCCATCTATATTATATACTATATCCAGAATACAGTAACACCAGCATTTCCAAAACAAGCAGATAAAGAAAACTCATATAAGAATGTAAGCACCAAGAGGTCATGACTTTTTGTTGTTTAGTGCTATATAACGATGTATAGTACATATCAGACACTCAAAAAACATGAAACAACAAAGGAATCGCCTGAGGTGGGAGAAAAATCTTAGGAATATGACATCATGAAAGCCAAGAGAATAGAATTATTTCAAGAAAAACTGGTTAAAGGTCTTTAACGCCGGTCAGTAACAAAAACTAACCATCATATTTAAGCAGTAAAGAGGTTGTGTTGGTAACCTTTTGAAAAGTCCCAATAAATGGTAGAATATATGGATAGTCTCACAAGGACTGCAATGGGTTAAAAGAAGTAAAAAGTGAAGTGTTCATTCATGAAGTCTGGCTTCAAATATGAGGCAGTTGGGAGTAGCTGGAAAAATAAATGAGGGAAGTTTTTTTTTTTTTTTTTTAATGTTCTCAAGTTAGAGGAGACCTGAACACGTATAAATGGTTTTGACAGATCAGGAAGAAACAGAGGCAGCAGCTAAGACCATGTGGAGTATGATGCACTGTGGATGAAAGCAGACACAAGCAGCCCTCTGTTTGCGTGCGTTCTGCAACCAACTGCAGATAGAAAATATTCAGGAAAAAAAACTGCATCTATACTAAATATGCACAGACTTTTATCTTGTCATTATTCCCTAAACAATACAGTACAACAACTGTTTATGTAGTGTTTACATACTCTTAGGTATTATAAGAAATCTAGAGATGATTTAAAGTATACAGGCAGATATGCATGTATACTTTACTAGTCCATTTTACATCAGAGACTTAAGCTTTTGTGGATTTTGGTATCCTCTGGAGGGTCCTGGAACCAACACACAGATACAAAAGGACCAATGAACAAAATGTCAGGGATTCTAATTAAATGCAAAATGTCTTGGTGGATACTGAATTCTTGTCTTAAAGTCTCTCCCACTTTTTACCACTTCTGCCTTACCTTCAGTAGTACAAAGTCTTCAACTGCACCTAAATCCATAATCTCTAAAAACACTTTCCCCTCTTCATAACCTAATCCAAATTATAATTTCTCCTAGCTCTACTTCAGCTATTTAATGGAGTTTTCACTCCTCCCTGCGTGATTTTGCCTCTTCAGCTCAGTCCTGATTACCTCTCCCAAAAGTCATGCCTATTTGTCTTGATCATCAGGTCCCTCCTTCCTGGCAGGTTCTTTCTTCTCTTTTAATGTAAATCCTGCCCATCTTTCCAAATCCACTTCTTTCAAGAAACCTTCCTTGATTACAGCAGCCCTACAAAGATCTTTCTTCTTTGAACACCTACAACTCTTAGGGTCCCTACTCTGCAATTTAGTAGCTGATTAAGTATGTAATTCAATTTTCTATTTGCTTCAACATATGTTCACATCATTTGTTTCCTTCAATGACCTATTAGGAGCTCGTAAATTTCTTTTGTATAACCTTCTGCATACCTAGCTCCAATCATTATTAAATAACACACTGGCTTAAAATAGATAAAAGAAGCAGAACAATAATAAACACTAATTTCATCCCTGTGCCAATTTTCCCTATAAAGAAATGTAATTCAAAGTTTTGTTTTGATTTTGTTTCACAATACAGAACCAATCTCAGTCTATAAAACAGCTTGGTCTTAAGGACATATAAATGCATAGATATCTTGACTTGCTTCCATGTTTAAGATTTTTGTCATGGTACTATATTGTAATAAAGTCCATCAGAAGTTCTTTAAATAATTATTTACCCCAAAAATCCTCTCATTTCCCTCCAAAACTATTTCTATCAACTAATTGTGCCAAAACTACTAAGTACCATACCTCATATCCTAATGTAAAGAGGCTAAAACTTCCAATCATAGTCACATTTTTGAAGAAGCCAGTTAATTAAAACAATAGGCCTCCAGGCCAACCTAAGGTCACCATCCTTTTCTGGGACACCTTCCCATTACCAGGTAGATAGTTCATGAAGTAAATAAAATGAGCAACTCTACTGCTTACTCCACTAAATTTTAAATGCAGGACTCGAGACATTTCATACTCAATCTAAACTCAATTCCACATGAATACACTGTACTATTTGAGCCAACAGACTTTAGGACAAGAAGGTCTCCTCAGGGGCTTGTATAAAAATAGATCACCTGCCAGATCCCTGAGGTTCTAATTTTTTAAATAATGCTAACTCACCTCGACTCATCTCCCTAGGTGATCAAAGCTGGTCTAGAAAGCTGGTTTACTGACCTTTAAATCATTATATAATAGTCACTTGGAGTTTGTTAAAACACAGAGTCCAGGCTGGGCTTGGTGGCTTATGCCTGTAATCCCAGCACTTTGGGAGGCCGAGGCGGATGGATCACGAGGACAGGAGTTCAAGATCCGACTGGCCAACATGATGAAACCCTGTCTCTACTAAAAAATACAAAAATCAGCTGGGCATGGTGGCTCATGACTGCAATCCCAGCTACTTGGGAGGCTGAGGCAGGAGAACTGCTTGAACCGAGACCCGGGAGGGAGAGGTTGCAGTAAGCCAAGATCGCACCACTGCACTCCAGCCTGGGCTACACAGCGAGACTCCATCTCAAAAAACAAACAAACCAAAAAAAACAAACAACAAAAAAACAATAACACAGACTCCAGGTCCCCATGAATGTGCATTCTAACAAGCTCCTAGGTGATAATGTTGCTACTGGCCCACCTAGACCAGGTCTGCCCCGCTAATGCTGGTGTTTAGTTACTTTCTTGCTCTTGTAGGTTGTTAATGATGCTATCAGTGCAGTAGAAATTCTCAAGTCACAATATTTGGGTCAGTGGATCCATAGAGACAAAACGTTTAAAAATGCTCTGTAGAAATTAATCAATGAATTTTTATGTAATGTTTAATATAATACACTGTTATCTTTACTTCTTCTAAAAATCTAGAAAATATCACAAAACAAACATGGTATCCAAAATGCTAAATAAATTCAAAGTTTAAATATTTACCTTTACTAATTAATCCTTGAGTAATCAACATACTTGTTGCAGCCAAAGGCACAGCTATAGGAGGAAAAAGACCTTGTCAACATCAAAGAAAGGAAAAGATTTTGTCTTCAGTTCATTAAATAAATGAGTATCAGTAAAACCATCTAGGAAGTATACTGCAAAACTAAGATCTTTATTGTATACATAGTAGAAAAATTAAAGGAGCATTTTAAATTTAAGGAAACATCACAAAATATTAAACAATATAATTAATGAACCATTTAGGCTTAGGTTCCAAATAGCCAGCTGTTCATTAATAGCATCAACTAAGACAACAACAGCAGAACTGACTAAAAGTTACTTCTGAAGTTAGAGAAGGGGGAAGAAGTTAGAGGAGGGGGAAAAGTTAGAGAAGGGGAAAAAGTTAATGAGGGAGAGGCAAGAAACAAGTTACAAATAAGAGCCACTACTGAATAATGACTAAATTCTGTGCATCATGCTAAGCACTTTATGTGCATTATCTCATTTATTATACTTTTTATCATATTTCTATAAGGTAGCTTATGCTATTACCACCCTTTTAAAGATAAGGAAACTGAAGCTTAGAGATGTTAATTAATTTGCTCAAGGCCAAACTAGCTGAATGGTCGGTTTGCAGATTCTAATAAAATCTGCCTGATACCAGATCTCAAGCTTTTAAGCTCTGTGTTACGCCCTGTGAACCAAAATACAAAATATATTTGACCGTAATCAAGGTGGCTGAGGCAAAAATTAAAAAGCACCTATTTTAAACACTAACGTTTTTTGTTTTTGACGTGGAGTCTTGCTTTATCACCCAGGCTGGAGTGCAGTGGCGCTATCTCAGCTCACTGCAACCTCTGCCTCCCAAGTTCAAACAATTCTCCCGCCTCAGCCTCCCCAGCTGGGATTACAGGCATGCACTACCATGCCCAGCTAATTTTTTTGTATTTTTAGTGGAGACGGAGTTTCACCATATTGGCCAGGCTGGTCTCGAAATCCTGACCTTGTGATCCGCCCTCCTTGGCCTCCCAAAGTGCTGGGATTACAGACGTGAGTCACTCTGCCTGGCCTTAATGTTCTTTGTTCTAAACTAGTGAACTTATTAAAGAATATTAAAATATTACATCTATATATGCCTACAACTCAAAGTAAAAAAATCCAGAACTCTTGTAATCTCAAAGAGGGTTATAACTTAAAAACAGCTATCCATCACTGTTTTCTTCATTAGCACTAATGGAATTTTTGTGATGATGTAAGCTAATTTTTGAGTGACCAACCCTGTGATGAATTTGGTCTAGGTAATTGACTGGTAAGCAGTTCCCCACATTGAATATGTGTAAGTAGCTCACTGTGCCCAAAGTGTTTGTACAAATACAGTTCATGCCAAACACCTGCTTTCATTCTGGGAGTCTCGAATTTTGGTACCTGTTAGGCAGAGGGTACATAAGTGACTAGTCTTCAATAAAAACCAAGGGCACTGAGTCTCTAAAGAATTTCCCTGGTAGATAAAACTTCACACATTGTTACCACTGGCTGTTAGAGAAATCAACCCTTCCCAGGAATTCTCTCCCTGGGGAGAGAAGTCTTGTTACTACTTGGTTTCCTCTGGACTTCACTCCATGCTCCCTTTTCTCTTGATGATTTTGCTTTATATCCTTTCACTGTAAGTTATTTTAAAGTTAAATTGCTACATTTGGCTACTGGCTGCCACAATGGACAGGTGCTGTTCCAGACCTGAGGTTGACAAACAAGTTCTATGAAGAGCCAGATGGCAAATATTTTGGGTTTTGTGGGACAATCTCTGTCCCAGTTACCCAACTGCCATTTTAATGCAAAATAATCCAGAGACAATCCAAAAACACATGAACACAGCAGTGTTCCAAGAAAACTTTATTTATAAATGCAAAAATACGAATTGCGTTAAGTACTTTTCACATGTAATGAAATATTCTTCTCCTTTTATTTTTTTTCTTAACCATTATTTTTTATTTTTTTACACAGGGTCTTACTCTATCACCAGGGCTGGAGTGCAGTTGTGCAACCTCATCTCACCACACCTCGGGCTCAGATGATCCTCCTGCTTCAGTGTCCCATGTGGCTGGGACTGCAGGCATGCGCCACCATGCCTGGCTAATTTTTCATTGGTTTTTGTTTTGTTTTGTTTCTGTAGAGATGAGGTTTCAAGATGTTGCCCAGGCTGGTCTTGAACTCCTGGGCTCAAGCAATCAGCCCACCTTAGCCTCCCAAAGTGTTGGGATTACAGGCGTGAGCCACTGCATCCAGCCTCTTAACCATTTTAAAATATAAAAACAATTCTCACACATACAAAAACAGATTTGATCCACAGGCTAGTTCATTCAACTGTGGTCTAAACCATATATGGACAATTTAAGAACCAAAGTAAGTAAAACATTTGAATTATTAGAGAGATTTCATGATTAAAATCTATCACTTTGGAACAGGGCATTAACTTTGCCATCAGACATAAACTGTACAAATGCTAAGGTTCGAATTCATGCTATCCTACTTACTAACAGATTTTACCTTTGCTGGAAATATGGTTTCTTTAATGTTGGCTGGTTAGAATGCCTTCATGTATTATCATTTAAGGTTTTGCAAAGGACAAATCCCTTTTAATTACAGCACCAGTACAATTTGCAATCATTTTTCTCCTTCAGCTTCACTCAAGGATTGCAACATGAAGCACTGAAGAATCATATAAGGATAAAAGGCAATGAGTTAGCTGGCCATTTCTACAATGGATAATGCTTTCCCCATTTAATGCAGAATAAGAGTCTGCTTGAGGAGATACTAGTTCTGCCATTCACCACAATGTCTTTGCATAGCTTCTCATGCTATACAGGGATAATGGATTAGACCTAAGGTCTTATTCCAACTCAGGTATTCTACTTTATGTCATAGAAAAAGACAATGGTAAGACTGAAAGAGGTTTCAGAGATTATCCAGTCCTCATTCCAATCAGAGTACATTGATACCCAAAAAAGACAAGTCATTGATACCCAGAAAAGACAGAGTACATTGATAGCCAGAAAAGACTAAGCAACACAGCTGGTTAGTTTGTGGTAGTGCTGGGATCAGAACCCAAGTCTCCTGACTCCCCTCGGTCAGTGGCCTTTTCCACTGCAGTATGTAACTTCTATTTTGTTAAATAATCTGTTTCCATAGGCAAATCAGTAACACTGCTGACCAAAGCCTAGTGCACATTATTACCACAGTCCCAAACTATATTCAATATGTACAAGAGCCCCTACAATTCTTTGAACTCTTCTCCCCTCACAGTAACAAAAAGTTACTCTATATTCGTAACTGTAGTCAATAGAAATTTTTATTTCATTAATCACAGGAACATTAATAGCTATTTAATAAAGATAGTCAACACTTTGACAATTAAATTGCATTAATCCCTATAACAATTTCATGAGATAGGCAGTTATCCCTATTTTATAGATAAGGAAACTGAGGCACACAGACCTCAGGAACTTGCCCAAAATCTCACAGCTACTATGTGCGGAGCTGGGATTTGAATCCAGCCAATCAGGCCGCAGAGTTCATATTCTTTTTTTTTTTTGGAGACAGAGTCTCACTCTGTCACCCAGGCTGGAATGCAATGGCACGATCTCAGCTCACTGCAACCTCCATCTCCAGGGTTCAACCAATTCTCCTGTCTCAGCCTCCCAAGTAGCTGGGACTACGGGTGCCTGCCACCACACCCCACTAATTTTTGTAGTTTTAATAGAGATGGGGTTTTACCATATTAGTCAGGCTGGTCTCAAACTCCTGACCTCAGGTGATGGGCCCACCTCAGCCTCCCAAAGTGCTGGGATTACAGGCGTGAGCCACCGTGCCTGGCTGCTTTTGTCTTTTCAACTTGTGACTTATCTGTTTAGATGCACAAAGAAATTACTTAGCTTTGTACTGTTCATACACCACATGTCCCACTATTAAGAGTCTGGTATATATGGGCATCCTGATTATTGTTCACTGCTCTTTAATGTACTTTTGGCATAATCCTGTCATAGCTATTTAGAATGTTAAACATGTGCAACAGCATACATTTATCAGCCAGAAATAAATCTGGACACCTTAGCATCTATCTAGCCATTAGGCCAACATTATAACAGTCCCAAACCCTCTCTATCAGACTTGTCTTTTTCTTAATCCTGTGTCATTGAGACTTGAAAACAGATCATTTTATCCTATCTACTCTACACAATTGTCATAGATTGAAAAAAAAACAAAAACAAAAACAAAACTGTAGCCAGAGTATATAGCCAAGTTCTCTAAGAAATTCCTCCCATTCTGGCCAGGCACAGTGACTCATACCTGTAAACCCAGCACTTTGGGAGGCTGAGGCAGGCGGATCACCTGAGGTTGGGAATTCAACACCAGCCTGGCCAACATCCGTCTCTACTAAAAATACAAAAATTAGCTGGGCATGGTGGCAGGCACTTGTAATCCCAGCTACTCAGAAGGCTGAGGCAGGAAAACTGCTTGAACCCGGGAGGTGGAGTTTGCAGTGAGCCAAGATCGTGCCATTGCACTACAGCCTGGATGACAAGAGTGAAACCCAGTCACAAAAAAAAAAAAAAGGAAAAGAAAAAGAAATTATTCCCATTCTATGAGCCATGAAACTTTTATAGAAGTCCTTAATTTATGATGACTATGCATCTAAAACAATTATTCTCAACTGCACAGTCATCATAAATTAAGATGGACATCATCACCTAATTCTTACTCAGATTCTTTTTAGCTTGAAACATCTGCAAGTCTCTGAATATTGGTGGATAAAATAATAAGGATTCTATCAGAGCTCGTGTTATCTTCCTAACTGCTCTTGGTCTCTGTTGATTCTTCCACCATCACTTGTTCCCTTATCCATGGTACCACCCAAACTTTATTCTTTATTCTATCATTCCTAAGTATTAATCACATGGCAGAAACTATTAACAGTTTTATGCTTTTATCTCTACACTTAATTTGTAGGTGAATTCACCAACACAACTCCACAATAAACCCTAATTTTTCATCTATACTTTGTTTCTATCTCCAGTTGCTTACAAATCTTCCACAATCAAATGTTGCACCATGAATTCAAAATGTCTGAACTAAACTCATTTCCCTCTTCAAACAAGAACTCCTTCTAACTGAACCTTTATTCAGCAGTATCATCATTATTGAGTCTCCTAAGCTGGTTATCTTAAAACTATTTCTTTCCTCTTACCATTCCTTCATTCTGCCTTAGTTGAGCTTCTTAAAAAATCCTATTATTTGTCCTTTAAAAAAGTCTTTCGTTGCCAGCTCATCTTTTCCAGTCCAAATGACACAATATTCAACTTTATCTCATCAATGACTACATACATATGCCTAAGGTTACTGCCAAAAGCTCATAACAGATTTCACCAAATACAATTTGTCACCTTTCTACCCATCTTGCACACTGTTAACTAACCTTTCTTAAAAAAAACCTTACATATCACCCCCACTCTGCTTATGAACCTAAATGATATAATGAATCAAATCTTTAATTCATTACTATGTTTTATGTTCTATCCTCAATGAAAGACTTCTGTTCCAATCAATTCAGGCTCATGGCTCTAGGAGAGATCAAGTTATTGCAAACTCTGCCTTTGTTCACTACTCCTTTCATCCAAATGCTACTCCACCTTTCCTCTTCATTTATCTACTTATTATTAATCTTTTGTAGGGGGAGGATAGAGACAGGGCCACACCATGTTGCCAAGGCTGATCTCAAACTCCTGGTCTCAGGCAATCCTCCTGCCTCAGCCACCCAAAGTTCTGGGGCCAGGTGCAGTGGCTCATGCTTGAAATCCGACCATTTTGAGAGGCCAAGACAGGTAGATCATTTGAGCCCAGGGGTTCAAGATCAGCCTGGGCAACATGGAGAAACCCAGTATCTACAAAACCAAAAACCAAACCAAACCAAGGTGTTGGGATTATAGTTGTGAGCCACGATGCCCAGCTTATAGTCTTATTATAAAGTTATTCCAGTATTGTTTACTTAACAAATAAAAGTCTCTTTCCAACTCAGGCATTCTACCTTACATTACATAAAAAGACAATTGTAAAATTGACAGAGGCTTCAGTTTTTAACAAATTGAAATTCAATAAAATTTTCAGAAAATTTTGAATTTTAAAATTTCAAGTTATTCAAATGTTTCAATTTCAGTAAGTCAATTCTACTTATCTCCTTAAAAAGTCTTCTGCGGTTACAAACTTAATCTCTGTTTCACATATTACAGCTTTGTCTCACCACATATAAACCTTCTTTGGGGCCAGGCCTGGTGGCTCACACCTGTAATCCCAGCCCTTTGGGAGGCCCAGGCAGGCAAATCAACCGAGGTCAGGGGTTCGAGATCAGCCTCGCCAACATGGTGAAACCCCGTATCTACTAAAAATACAAAAATTAGCTAGGCATGGAGGCGTGCACCTGTAGTCCCAGCTACTCGAGACACTATGGCAGAAGAATCACTTGAACTCAGGAGAAGGATGTTGCAGTGAGCAGAGATGGTACCACTGCACTCTAGCCTGGGCAACAGAGTGAGACACTGTCTCAAAAACAAAACAAAAAGAGAAGAAAAAAGAAAACTACTTCAGGACAAAGACTGTCCTTTCATAAAACTTATCTTCCCAACAGGTACCTTGCACATCTTGCACACTTTAAGCATACATATCAGGCTGACTGATGAAAATGCACATCGTCCATAATGGCTTAAGTTGCCCTTTTTTTCCTTTTTCTCTTTTCTTTGATACAGGGTCTGGCTCTGTCACCCAGGCTGGAATGCAGTGATGTGATCATAACTCACTGCAGCAGCCTCTATCTACCCAGCTCAAGGGATCCTCCGGCCTCATTCTCAGCCTCCCAAGTGGTTGCAACTACAGCCATGTACCACCACATCCAGCTAATTTCTTTCATTTTTGGTAGAGATGAGGCCTCTTTCACTATGTTGCCCAGGCTGGTCTTGAAGTCCTGGGCTCAAGCGATCCTCCTGCCTCGGCCTCCCAAAGTTCTGTGATTATAGGCATGAGGCACCATGACCAGCCAAGTTGCCTTTTGAAAAAAAAAAATTTGCCAGGCGAGGTGACTCATGCCTGTAATCCCAGCACTTTGGGATGCCGAGGTGGCTGGATCACCTGAGGTCAGGAGTTTGAGACCAGCCTGGCCAACAAGGTGAAAACCCATCTCTACTAAAAATACAAAAATTTGCTGGGCATGGTTGCACACACCTGTAATCCCAGCTACCTGGGAGGCTGAAGCAGGAGAATCCCTTGAACCCAGGAGGTGGAGGTTGCAGTGAGCAGAGATTATGCCACTGCACTCCAGCCTGGACTACAAAAGCAAAACTCTGTCTCAAAAAAACAAAAATCCATCCTTCTTTTTTGTTATAATTACCTTACCTGAAAGGATTACAGTTTCCAAGTAAAGCAATACCAGTTCATTTTCTTTTATTTTTCGTTTTTTTCTTTTTTTGTTTTATTTTTTTCTTTTCTTCCAGTTCTTTGTTCAATACTAAGATTATATTTTGTGTATTGCTTCCAACAATCTCTGTCTTTAAAAAATAAAATCTTAACATATATACACAAATATATATAATTCTCTAGTCAGAAAACAAGAGCTGGTAGTATAACAACATTTCACAATGATAAAATGGGAACTAACCTGTTATGGTTAAAAGCATTAAGAGTAAAATCTGTTTCAGACAGACCTAGTCTCAACTCCAAACATCGTAATTTATCACCTGTGTAACACTAAGTGTTGTTACTAATTAACATCTCTAAACCTCAATTCCCTCACCTGTAAAGTGAGGGTAATAATAGATATCAAGCTTGTTGGGTTGTTTTTATATAACTTATGTACATACAGTAAATTCTAACTATTACTATTATCAACAAAATTACCTCATCGTTTTGATTACAAAAATCTGGAAATAATTACTTTAAAATGTATGCAATTCCTTTATTTCCTTCATCTCTTTTAACAACAATCACACTATGCAAAAAGTTTGCCAATTTGTTCTATACAGAGTTATTATAATTTCAGATTCAAATTCAGGCCAAAATTTCAGGTACAAATTTTGGATCAAATTACATTAATTAGAAAATTGAACTCACATCTGAACCAGAAGCTTTCATCATTGCATTCTGCAAAGAGTCTCCTTTCTTCCTCTGTTGGAATGTAATCAGGCCCTATGTCTTTTTACAAGGAAAATAAAAAAAACATTAAATTACCCATAATAAAACCAAGTCTGAAAAATTATCTTAGCCTAAATATTAACGAGACACCATTTTTTTTTAAAGTTAATCAAAAAAAGAAAGTCTTGAAAACAGTACGAGAAAAGCAATTCATCACAAATGAGAGATCTTCAATAATATTAACATCTAATTTCTCATTAGAAACAGGGAGGCCAGAGGCAGTGGGATGACATTTAAAGCATTGGAGGAGAAAAAAAGAATTCTATATCTGACAAAACTATCCTTCCAAAATGAAGGAGAAATAAGACATGCCCAGATAAATAAAAACTGAAAAACTAATTGCTAGTAGACCTGCCTGCTTATTACAGCCTGAATAGTATCCCAGTAAAATTCATATGTTAAATATCTAACCCCAGTATGTCATAGAATGAGACTGTATTTGGAGACAGTGCCTTTAAAGAGGTAAACAGATTGAAAATTAGGTCATTAGAATGGGCTCTGAAGGGCAATGTAACTGGTATCTTTATAAGAGAAAATTAGAACACAAACACAGAAGGAAGACCTTGTGCAGACACAGGGAAAGAATGGTTACCTATATGCCAAGCATAGGGGCCTCAAAAGAAACCCAATTACTAACACTTTGATCTCAAACTTCTAGGCTCCAGAATTGGGGGGGAAAGCAACACCCCTGTTCTCTCTCCCTCTTCCTCTTTCTTCCTTTCCTTTATTCTTTTTTTTTCTTTTTCTTTATTTTTTATTCTTTTTCTTTCTTTCTCTTTCTTCCCAAAAAAACAAAAAACAAAAAAACAAGAATACATTTTTTCCCCGACACCATTTTTTTTAACTCAAAAAATAAAACAACTGGTTTATACTTTTTTTTTTTTGAGACAGAGTTTCACCGGTGTAGCCCAGGCTGGAGTGCAATGGCGCTATCTCGTCTCACTGCAACCTCCGCCTCCCAGGTTCAAGAGATTCTCCTGCTTCAGCCTTCCGAGTAGCTGGGATTATAGGCACCCACCACCATGCCAGGATAATTTTTTGTATTTTTAATAGAGATGGGTTTTCACCATGTTGCCCAGACTAGTCTCCAACTCCTGACCTCAGGTGATCCACCCATCTTGGCCTACCAAAGTGCTGGGATTACATGAGCCACCTCGCCCAGCCATTTACACATTTTTAACAAACTTTGACTTCAAACAGTTAATGCTACTATCTGCTTGTCAGGACTGGCAACATAATGTGCTGGGCCCACTGCAAATAAATAAATAAATAAATAAAACCCCAAAAAACGTGGGTCTCCTTGTCCAAATTATTCAGAATTTCAAGAGTAGAAACATGAAATCAAGTACGGGGGCCTGTCTGCACATGCCCATGAAGCCAGCCCACCTGCCACTGTTACTCAAGCCAGTGAAATTTCCTTTAGATAGAAAGCGCTTCTAATTATAAATACTTAATAGATAGTTACGGGTAATTGGTCTTGGAACTTCTGCACTCGGCTCTTGAAAATCAGCCCTCCCGTTCATCTTTCCTGTATCAAAAACATCATATATTAAGTATTAGAAACCATCACTAGATAGGTCAAAGTAAATTAAGATGTAGGCTATAGTAAAACTACTAGTCTACATAGCAATCAATCAACAAATATTTACTACACACTACCATATCTTAAATACTTCACATAAAAATAGCTAGATGAAAAAGTAACAGACCTATTAATTAATTTGACCCACTATTCAGGTTAAGTTCCTTAATTGAAAAAGCATAAGCGTTTTATAAGTTTATACTGTTTTTTATTAATATCAAGATACAAAAAGATATCAATAAAATAATATACGTATTTTTTCCTCCTGAAACTGTTTCTTTCACATTATCTTATGTTTTGGTCGTTTCGCAAATCTATGCCCAATGATTAGGATAATTCCCCAAAACAGAAGAGAAAAAAATCTCAAGTCATTTCTGAGTTTCCATATTAAAAAACAAAATAATCATCAGAAACATTCAACCTCTCCCACAAAAGAGGACTCTAAAATTACGGAATAACAAAGACGTCATATCCTTCACCCTGTGATGTAAAGCTAACAGCAAACTCCGTATCTCCAAATATCCTTCCTCCCCAAGTATATTTTAAAAAGGCATAAAATTCCAAGACTGTAAATTTTTTTTATTTGGTTCTTTTTTAAAAAAAAAAAAACTCATATATTGGGACTTAGACCAACAGATCAAATAACTGTATTTTACAGAATATTTACACGGGATCATTATTATTCTCATTTTAAAAACAATTTGCATGGAAACAGGAAATGGCATACACAATTAATTCATTTAGTCAATAAGCCATGAGGGCCTACTACATGCCAATCCCTTATATCCAGAAAAGGAATAAAAAGGGTAAGCTGAATTCATGGATGGATGGAGCCTGCTGAATAATCTATTTCTACCCTACAAACGTATTCGAAAAAAACGAACCTCTCTTATTTCCCACAACAGCATCCTTCCTAGAAACACTCGGAAAACTGTCAGGGCAGACAAGGCCCTTGAGACAATACCATTTTAAGCTCTTAATACAAAAGAAAGAAGGATTGAAGCCCCAGCGGCCTATAACCGCTGATTCCCGCACTCCATCCTCCACTCAATGTGTCCGTCTCCCACCTGCCGTTACTGACTGAGCAACAACCCCACAGGCATTCCGTGACCACGAACTTCCCCACCTCACACCCCCAGAAGCAATCCGTCGCCCCCGCGGTCACCGACACCAAGGAGGCCGAGACCCGAGCGCGATCTATCCACCCTCACAGGCAGGAAAATGGCGGAAGGTGCGAAAGTCGCGGATGGCCGCAGAGGTGGTGAGGCAATACACGGAGGGCAACTTCGGGGAGGGCAACTACGGGGCTGTCTGCGTCACCTCACCCACCTCCTGTCGACAGCAGCAGGCGACTGCGAAGCAAGCCCAAGCGATCAGGGGCAGAAGGCTCGAAAGGGACTAGGTAGGGACAGGGAGGGAGAAAAGTGCAAGGTACCGCGGGGAGGGGGAGGGGGCGGACAGCTGCAAGAAGTCACCCAGACTGGGGATCTAAATGACCGCGACCCGGAGACAGTGTCTACCTACGGCAGGAAATGACGTCAGAGCACCCCGCGGGGTCTAAGAGGTAGCGGCCCAGGATAGACGCATGCGTATACTCGTCCCTCCTCCCTTCTCTCCCAGGCCGCGGCGCTCAAGAGCCGCACTGCGACTGCGCGGGCGACAGCGGCGGACCAAGAACCCCGCCCGCGCCCTCCCTGGGTGACGGGGAGGGTTGCGGGTAAGCTTGTCTCGGGCTATTGTGACTCACCTCTCTGGGCTTCCCTTGGCAGGCTGGCGGGAACGTTCTGGAACCCTATGTTGTCCCTTTTTGGAGAGTTAGCGACTTCTTACATTTTGTCTTAAATGAGATAATTTCATTCTTTGACCCTGTAGGCTAAGTAGTA